CTGACACATAAGCTGCGAATATAATAATAATAATAATATCTTTATTCATCCAGTAGATCAGATCACGATATACGACAAGTCAACAACAAAAAATTACATTATATTACCTAGACCATTAAGCAAATACAACAAACAATGAAACTTAACTAAATACAGAAAGTACAATATTTTATATTCTGTTAAATATGGCACTGCAAATAATCATTTACAGAATAAAATGCACTATCAATAAGAATTTTTGTAGTTTGACATAAATAATTTAAAGTTGGTAAGTCTCTAATCGATAATGGAAGTTTATAATATAATACAGATCCAATATAAAAAGGATTAGATTTATACAGCTCCATTCTGTGCAAAGCAAATTGTAATTTGTTACCTCTGCGAGTACCATAATTGTGGTGTACATTTTGAAACTTAAAATTATTTAAATTTAATTTAACAAACTTCAAAAATATACAATGATGGAAACGTTAGTATGTTTTGCCTAATAAACATATTTTTGCACGAGTCATTTTCAAATCGAACATACATCGTATCGCCCGATTTTGAAGAATAAAAACCCTGTCCGATGTTATAGAGTTTCTCCACAATATGATAGCATAACGCATTATGGATTCTATATTGGAGTTATAGAACATTTTTACCACTTTTGCATTAGAAATATTTGGTAACCTTTTAAAAGCCTAGCATCCACTACTACACTTAGTACATACCAGATTAACTTAAGCAATTGCTCCTTCCAATTTAGTGACATATCAATATTAACCTAACAATTTTGTGAATGAAACTTGTTTAATTGTTTTATTGTTTAATTTAATAAGTGTACTTTTAATGTAATATGCACCAAATGGATGAAATTCAATATTAAAAGTTTTTTAAATTAAGTTTATTGGACATTTTTAATTCATTATTGGCAATTGAAATAATCGTATTATCATCAGCAAATGATCAGTAATATATATTTAATTCATGTTGCAAGTACTTGTATACTATAGTTACGTATAGTACTATAGTTTTGAATTGAACTTTTATCACCCTTTTTAAAAAGACAAATAATTTTAGCAATTTTTAGACAGTCTGGAAAAATTCTTTTGGTAAAGCAAGTATTTACCAAATGGCATAATGGTAAAACAATATATGGGGCACATAATTTAATTAAAAATGAAGGTATATTATCTGGACCACAACTATTTGTTGTTTTTAAAGCGTATATTATATTTAACATTTCAATTTCTATAACAGGTGAAAGAAAGATTGATTGATTTATAAATGGTATTTTAAAATTTACAACAGTATTTGTGTTTTTTGGTATTCAGTTTATAGGGCATTTACAAAAAAAATTACAAATCATTTTTTCTCTATCAGTTATAATAAAGGTCAAATTTTGATTTTGTTTTTCATTGCCAAAATTTTTATTTATGTTCTTGACACGTTATTTGAGTTTTTATCGATTTTTTAAAGCACAGTTCTTTAGCCTCTTGAATAACTTTTTTTTAAAGGTATTATAATTAGTCCGGGAGGCAGTGAAGATTTTTATCTTCTTATTTTCCCAGTTTGTGAATGTCATTAAGTTTGTTCAAATGGTGACACAAAACGACAATTTGGGTGTCTGGCTAAAATTTTCGGATGGGTTCACTAGATGAGCCAAAAAGTCAAGTCCACTTATTTTCTAGTCATAAATATTTCACATTAATTAAAGTGAGTCATTTTATTAATGGAAATAACAGTCTCGCACATCCCAAGTGAAGGAAAATCAGTCTGGCTGAAAATTTGCGGAAGCAAAAATTTGACCGGTTTTTGAAATACGTAGCCCTTATTTTCCCATGCTTAAAATTTAACCCATTATTTGGTACTGTCATAAACTATAATCAAAATTAAGTCTGGCTGATTTATGAAATTGGTAAATTGTTCTGACGGCATCTTGAAAATCGTAAGAATTACAAAAATTTTGCTCTTATTTTCCCGGATTTGAAAATTTGTCACATCATAAATAATACTATAATTTCGTAGAAAATACACGTCTGGCTGTTATTTACAATCACGAAAGCCCCGCCAGACTGCGAAAATAAGGGCAATGGTTTTGATAATTTTTCCACCTGCCAGACATATTACCCATACTCACAGTTTAGCCAGACTATTTTTTTTCATAAGTTCACTATATCTCTCACTAATGGAATTATTTTTATCACTGGAAAAAAAAATGCAATATATTTGTACTTTATAACGCATTTTCCGCCTTAACCCATCGGAAACCCCCCCCCTAAATATATATAAATTTTGCTCAGAATAACAAACCCAATAATTGTAACGGTGTTTGCCGACTGGCAAAATAAGTACCGAAAATCTTCACTGCCTCCCGGTTGGACGAGTCTGGCAAGGCTTTCGGAGTGTTCCACATTAGCCAGACTATATTTGCAGCTGTAATTATAATATAAACTATCATCTCACAAAATTTTTAGGACTGCGAAAATAAGGGCAATGGTTTGGATAATTTTTCCACCTGCCAGACATATTACCCATACTCACAGATTAGCCAGACTATTTTTTTTCTTTAGTTCACTATATCTCTCACTAATGGAATTATTTTTATCACTGGAAAAAAAAGTGCAATATATTTGTACTTTATAACGCATTTTCCGCCTTAACCCATCGGAAACCCCCCCCCTTAATATATATAAATGTTGCTCAGAATAACAAACCCAATAATTGTATCGGTGTTTGCCGACTGGGAAAATAAGTACCGAAAATCTTCACTGCCTCCCGGACTAAATAGTTGGGTTGAATTACACCATTACACTTTAAATTATATAAATCTTTTAGTTTTGCTGATGATATTTTAATTCCTTGTGTAATCAACTTCCTATTGCTTTTTTGTAACTTTTTAAAACTTAATGGAAAAGACATATTGTAATAATATGCTAAAATATTTATAAAGTTGTTAATTTTTTTGAGAAAATATCCTATGTTTAATGGTAGAAATGTTCTCTTCCACGTAAAATGATATAATTTGTCCTGATTGATCAGACAATCCATTTTGAAGTACATCTTTCATGCAGATCACATCATTAAAATTGGTAAAAATATAGTCCAAGGCACTATAAGTGTTATTTTGAATTCTTGTTTGTTTTTTCAAAAACACTACTCAAGTAAAAGGAATTTGTTAAGTCGATTAATTTTTATCTTTTGAATTAGACAAAAAATTGATATTAAGATCTCCAGCTAATATAATTTTATAATAAGTTTGTTTGCTACACAATATGTACAATAATTCTTCCAATTTAAAAAAAAATATATTAACGTCACCGGTTGGTGATCTCTATAAACATAAAATAGAAATATTGAACTCGTTTAATTTAATTGCACAACATTCAAATATTTTATCTTCGCATAAGTAAAATATCTCACTCAAATTATTAAAATTAACTGAATTCTTCGTATAAATTGATACTCCGCCATGATTAAAATTAGTTCTGCAATAGGAGCTAGCTAAGATTATAAAAGGTCAAATCTTGAATAGAACCATACTCAGGTCCATTAAACCTGAATACGGCCAATATTTTTTCATTTGCAGTTTTGACGATCTTTAGAACGAGCTAAACTGACAAATAAAAAAAAGTTCTTTTAGTTTCACCGTTACTTCCTAAGAAGTCCCAGAAGCCAACTGAATTGCTTGTGAGGGTTAAGAGTAGGAACAGAAAGCCTGCGTTAAGCGAGGACAAGCTTAAATTATGACTAAAATGACGACCATGATACTACATAAGTATCATGATAGGTGCGTTCTTTTCGCCTGAGATCTCAGCTCACTTCAGTTAATGTGATATGGGATGTAGTGATCTGAGTAAGCATTTAAAAGAACGACACACTCAATTGAAACGCAATCTGACGGCGAATACGTAAATAAGAGGCAACATAACCTATCTCTGATATAATTATGTTCTGTGTCATATCCTTATGGTTTAAATTTCGTGTTTTTCTATGTTTAAATTTGCGTTGAATTAAGCCTAATAAATAGATCCGTACGGAAATCTATAAATGGCACTACGATTTTCGTATTGTTCATCTTTTACAGGAGAAAGGAAGGAAGGCAATCTATAAATCAGGCTTTATGGATAATACCTTCCTGCACCCTTTGTGCATATTCAGTGGACAAATTAGTGTATATATTAAAGACGTTTCCCGATCTATAATACTTATTCTTTCCATAATTGGATGAAAAACAAAAACAACAATTTTTTGATAGTAATATTAATTTTATGACAAAATAAAAAATTATAAAAAAACTTCACTTTGACATGTTTTGTTTAATTTTATTGTAAAGTGTTTTTCTACTTCTGAAAAACAATTTTATTCGAATTATATTTATTATATTAAGTTTATAGCTAATTTACAACATTTAAGTTTTATTGTAAAAAATCACCTAAATAAGATTAGGTTATGTTATTTAAAATCTTAACAAATCAATAATTTATTTATTCCCTCCACTTTATTTCCGACTTAATTCAAACTGATTCCCCCGCACAGCATGTGCAGTATCGGTGAGGGGGGAGGAAAAATCTCAGCTCACTTTATGGTGAGTGAAGCAAAAAGAACGCGCACATTTGCAAAATTTACCGATGTGAGCTGAGATTAACTGAGATCTCAGGCGAAAAGAACGCACCTAATGACGACTAACAAAAATAAGGACAAGCTTAAATAATGGCAAGCTAAAATGGGGACAAACAAAAGTGAGGATAAACTAAAATGACGACAAACTAAGATGAAGACATGCCAGGAGGACAAGTTTAAAGGGGGACATGCTAAAATGACGACAAACATAAATGAAGATAAGCATAAAAAAATAATAGGACAAGGTAAAATGACATACAAGTTAAAATTGATGAAACATGAAAATAGACAAGCTAGACAATCGTGCAATCCGATGGTAAAATGACATACAAGTTAAAATTGATGAAACATGAAAATAGACAAGCTAGACAATTTTAAATAATGACTGTACTTACTTGCAATATTTCGGGCGCTATGTAATCCGGCGTGCCGCAGAACGTGGCCGTGGTGATGCCGTCCAGAATGCCCTCTTTGCACATGCCGAAATCGGCCAGTTTGCAGTGCCCATCCGCGTCCAGCAGAATGTTGTCAAGCTTGAGATCGCGATAGATGACGCCGTGCTTGTGTAAAAACTGCAGCGCCAACGTGACCTCTGCGGCGTAGAAGCGCGCGCGCGGCTCGTCGAACTTCTTGGCGCGCTGGATCTGGAACATCAGATCGCCGCCGTTCACGTACTCCATGACGAAGAAGAGGCGGTCGCGGGTCTGGAAGCAGGAGTGCAAAGCGGTGAGGAAGGGGTGCTTGGCGGCCAGCGCCAAGATGCGCTTCTCCGTCATAGTGCAGTCTACGTCGTCGTCCTGTATTATCACGTCCTTTTTTAGCACCTTCACCGCGTACACCTCTTCGGTATCCTTTTTCTCCGCCAACATCACCTTGCCGAAACTTCCCTTGCCCAGAACCTTTACAAAGTGGAAGTCGTGCAATCCGATGGTTTGACTGGCGCCCCTTTCTCCACCTTAGCAAATTATTTCAGTTTATAAATGTATCATTGCCAAAGTAATATATTAATGCGAAAGTGTATTTGTATGTAATACCTTTTCGTTCCTCTTTCACGCAGCAACATAGCAGAAAAAATCCTTATCAAAAAGACATTTTTCTTTGTGATACGACTCGACAATCAGCGCCGCCAGTGGTAAAAAAAGACTTAATTTGCGCGATTTAGAGGACAGGTTTTGTTAATTTCCCCTATTAACCCTATTGTAAATGACCGATTTATTCCTTATAGAAACCAATTGAAGTATTGTTTGGTATCAATAGGTCTGAATTGGTCTTACTGGGTTTAATTGGGAGCGATATAAAACATAAATTAGTTTTTACTGGTATTTTCCATGATGGAAAAGTCCGATTAGGCTTCTACTGTTTTTTAATGGTTTCGATTGGTTAAAGCTACCCATAGGTAATTTCCAATTGAATTCAATTGGGCATTCCCAGTGTGAGATTCTAAAAAGGAATCTGCTAATTGCTTATTCCCAATACTTTAAAATATCGCAAGAGGTCTCTCGTGTAGCGGCGCAAATGGTTGAGAAGCCATCATAAAGAACCAAACAAGTCTTTGGACGCTATTTAATGACGTTTTTTTATTAGTCGGTTTCTTTTATAATCTATGGGTTTCTGTGCTTAGTGGCAGTTGTGTACTTATAGTGGTGTGTACTTATGCCTTAAAAAAATGTTTAAATGTGTAAATGTGGCGTGAGAATGGTGGTTACAGCGGACAAAATAAAAAAAAAATTGACATAAATAATATTGATTTTGACCATGCCTACAAACATCCTTTGCAAGAAAGACAAAAAAAATGATTATAACCGAGTAATTTTATTTATTTTTATTACTTTTTTTGTGTTAGTAAGTTATATGTATCAATACTTATCTCACTAACACAAAAAAATAATAAAGAAATTAAGTTACTCAGTTATAATAATTTTTTTGTCTCTTCTGTGAAAATGAATTCTGGGATCTTAATTATTTTTGAATGAAAAATCAACTGGTATTTTTAATCCAAATTTAAAAAAATAAATTGGTTCGAATTGGTTTGGCGCAATGAATTACCAATTCATTCCAGGTACATTTATATTGGATTTAGCCAATAGAGACGAGCAGAGGCATGGATTAGTATATTCCAATTTAAGCCGCTGACTTCATTGGAACTTACCAATAGGAATGCAACTGGAATAAATTGGTGATTCATAGCGCCAAAACCAATTACTTATTTTTTATTGGATTCTATCGGTCATTTACAATAGGGAAGTTTACCCCTCGGTTCCTGTGTAAGGTTGCCAGATTTTTAAAAATCGAAAGCGGGACAAAATAATTTTAAGAGCGAAGCCAAACTAGACATTCTTGTTTTCCATATATTTTTTTTAGCTAATCATACATTAAAACTTTAAACTGTCTTTAAGATACTGCTGTCGATGATTTTAACAAGCCGACTATACTTCGGACTACAGCTGTTGCTGACGCAACGAAACCAGTGTCTGTTCATCAAATGCTTAATTAATGTTTACGTTAATTTTTATGATTTGTTTTATTCATGAATTGCAAAAACAGTAGCAAAAGTGATACAGGAAAAACTTGCTTACTTTGGCGCAAATTTCTACCACCAGATTTCAGGGTTGTAATTGGGCTGTTTAATGAACAGTGTTCATTACAGCTCCCACGTTCAAAATAAATACTAAAGAGTCTTTCGCTAGCTCATGCTCAAAAATTTGAGCATTGTCGGGAGTCGAGCGATAGAAAATAGGCTTTGATGAGCAAAATGTTTTATCAGTTTGTCGACCGCTGCCAACTACTGCATCGATACTGACACAGATCACAGATCATAAAAAACGCAGCAACTCAGACCAGGTCTCGTTGTTCATTATGTCGCAAATTCTCACAATAGAAAACCGCAAAAAATTGTTTGTCAGGTATCATATGTATATACTTAATTTTAGTTAGGCCTGTAGCAATCAAAATTAACTTTTAGAAATATCGGGACATTTTATTACCTCAGCGGGACATTGTTTAAAAAATCGGGGCAGTCCCGCCTAAATCGGGACGTATGGCAACTAGGGAATGCAATCTTGGTATACCAAGGTCTCGAAATACCAAGATCTCGCACTAATTCTGCAAGATTAGTCTTGCACGAAAATCATGCGCGATCTCGCAAGATTTGCGAGATTAGGGCGCAGCGCATTCCATGTGTGTTTTCTGTTTTTTGAGAAGTCATTTTCAAAATAATGTATAGTTTCAATAAATAATTTTAGTCTTGTTTATGTTTTTTGCTTCAATAGCTTGATGATTATTCGTATTTGTATAATATTATATACCACTAGTGGTAAAATTTTATCGATAAAATTATTGATTTATATACGAATGTTTTTTTCTTGGAAATTTTGCAAGTGGCATTAATTTTTAAGACCACGAGGCGCCAGGCGAGTGGTTTTAAATTAATTCCACGAGAGAAATTTCCAAGGAAAAAACTTGAGTAAAAATAAAAAAAAAAATTCAGGGAAAATTTTATTACGAGTGGTATTCGGCAAGACTATTTCACGATATTATTTTTAATTAGAATTAGAATTTTTGACTAAAACGCATATTTTTTGACATTTTGATTTTAAAATTAGAAACTTCAACATTGACAATTATTTTTCGAATAGCAACCAATTGGTTGGTCGTATAAACAAATGGTTTTTTACCTAAATAGGTAGTAGTTTTATCGCTGCAACACTGAAAAAAATACTCGTTTTCTGAAATCTGATTGGTCTATAAAGTAATGAGTGGAATAGTCTTAAATAAATTATTTAATTTATGGTTTATTTCATTACTTTCCCTTTACGATATAACCTAACAAAGTTGTAATACAAATAATTATACTAATTTCTTTTTTTATTAATCTTAAATCTTCGAGATCTCGCAAAATACCGAGATCTTGCGAGATTACACCTCTTAAATCTTGCTATACCAAGATTGTATGTTTTCCTGCAAAATTGCATTCCTTAATGGCAACCGTATTCCTATGGAATAATTGAAAAATACGTAGAAAACTCATAACGCAACCAGCATAACATCTACTTTAGTTAAACGTTAATTTAATGTTTTTAAAGTTTTATGTTTATTTGGCACGGTTTTTGTGTGATAATTAAAAAATAAAATGGAGTTCGATTTTGTCTTTCGTGTGTGGTGCATCGTACTTTCATCTCTGGGTCATTGCTCGATGAAAAGTTTGAAACATAGCTGACTTTGACCCAGGAGGGACAAAATGGAATTCCGGGTATAGAAATATACCTGTATTTTTGGACAATATCGCAAGCTTTGACCTTCTAGCGAGGTATTTTGTGAATTGTACAACACATGGAGTGGATGATCCAAGATTTGGAAAATTCACGTGTCTCTTCGTGAAGCGCATGGACATTAAAACTTGTTGCTGGTCAAAGTGGTTCATTGAAACCGAGACCATTAAGGCCTTAGGCCACCAAGGAAGAAGAAGAAGAAAAAATAAAATAAACGTAACCAATATTACACGCACGTGTAATCTGGGTTGCCTACCCCTTATAACAATTATTAACAATTATTGTTAATTAGTTACCGAATGCCGCACAACAGGTGATATTGTTGTCAATTAAGCCCTAAAATGTTTATATAAACACATACTTTCGTCATAAAATTAGCAAATAGAACACATTAAAACTAAAGTGTTCTTAACCACCCCCCATTCAAAATGCAATATATGGCTCCAAAAAGTCTCACGTTTTACGGGTGGCTATGACAAAATGGAAAGGCCGGCCGCAAAAATTAAACATGAATTAGAAGAAATTTTTAGATAGAATAGAACATTGCTAAGGGGAGATGGGAAATAAATGGAATTATTTGGTAGTGGGGGTAAACGTGGGTACCTACAATTTATATCGTTCCAACGAACTTTTTAAAACCATTCCTCCAACTAGTGTAAAGTGCAAAAGATGGCGTTTGTTTGATTACTTTAAATTATATTTTGTAAAACTGTTAAGATTTTTAGTATTATTATTATGTTCGTTAGTTTATGAAAGTCGTGGGATTGAAAAAATGGCTTAAGATCGACACACCTAACCGTTACGTAAGGTACGTAAGGTCACAAAAACAAATTTGGTTTGGAGATTTTTAGAGTTAAATATCGCGTACAACTTTTTATTTAAGAATTTTTTGACACATAAAACTAAAATGATAAAAAAACAAAAAAATCGCCTAGGTTACTCTCCGGCCCATAAACTATCTCTACGCAAAAAATTGCGTCGATCCGTTGCTCTGTTGCTGCTTAAAAGAAAAATAAACCGACAAAGGAGCAAAATTTGGACATAAACTTATTGAAACTTTTTAGTTAAAGTAACTTTCTACATCCGACGGTAGGCTGAAATTGTAAAAAAGGTTCTTACAGTTGTTTTGCATTTTCTCCTCCATCATTTTGGAGAGAGCCTCATCGGAGGCTTCGTTCCTCGCCTGGTTATCATTTTGACTGTCCTGCTGGCTTCCGTTGCTGCCGGGTCCCGTTAAAACGGCCTTCCTTTTCGACGTTTGCTTGTCCGGCGTGACTCCAATCTCGGTGAGGATGTCTGCCATCTGTTTCACGTTGATGCCGCAGTTGTTGGCGACGTTCTTCTGGCATCGCTTGTGCACGTTTAGGTTGCACACCTCGCACTGCAAACCTTGCCGATAGAGGCCGTAAAGCAGCGAGCCGCAGTGGTCGCAAAACGTGAAGCGCTTGTAGTTGTGCACCTCGAATCTGTGCGGTATGTTCACGTTGAACCGCGTGCTTTGTGAACTCGACTACAACACAAATTAATTGTATTATTTACAAATTTAACAAAATACGTTGTCCATACCTCATCTTTCATCCCAGGACACCTTGTAACCACAAGGGAATGACATCTCTTGTGAACAACGCATGTGCATACTGAAAAATTTACTCTCAATTAATATTTTTAACATAGCTAGATGGTACTACCTTTAATATGTTTACATTAATAATCAAACACCATTATTAATATTATAAACAAGAACATTATTACATTTATTTTTTCATTAGAAACTTGGTAGTACCCTGTTAATAAACTTTTACCGTATTTTCTTATAAACAATTAACAGAAAAAATCTCACACCAAAATAAAAGAAAATATTTATTTAATTTAGAAAAAACTTCTGTAATAAAAAAGGCTATATACAATATTTTCATAGATAATAAATATTTTCCAAAAAACATCATGTAATAAAAAAATAAGGAAAAAAATTATAAAAAAGAAAGTTGCACTTACAAAAATTAAAAAGCTATATAAAGACAGCCATGCCAGTGGTGCTGCAAAAATAAAATATATAAAATCATTGGGGGTTTTGTTTCAGTATATTTCAGTCCAGCACCCATTGTTTTAATAATCATGCAAAAGAAGTCCACAACCACAATTATTGGGAGTTTGCATAACAGTTTATTAATTATTGTCAAATTTACACGGTAATAGTTATTTGAAATTTATTTAAATTGGAATCTCTGCTTTCGCGGTAAGGAAGTTTTCAAATTTAGAGCAATGTTGCCAGACGTAAAATATTTACACTCTTTGAGGAAATTTGCAGTGGCGGCCTCTCCCTTAGGTCATTAGGTCACTGACCTTCCAATAAAACAATAAAAATAAACTATTTTTTTAATATTAGAAATTACTATAAGTTTAGCACTAATAATATAGCGATAATATTTTAGCTGCCCCTCGTAAAGGTCATCTCATCCTTATTGTAATTATTAAACGCTTGGAAAAGAGATAGCAGGTTTGACGTAGGTCGCCACATACGGAAGTATGTAGTATGTGGAAGTATTTTTAGGTCGTGCAATTTTTTATTTTAGCTGTAGGTATATGTTAGGATGTAATATTTGTTACATCATGTGTATTAAGCATAAATCTATAACTATAGATATATGAAGTTAAGTAATAATAATGCTAAATTTGAAATTTAACACCGTTTTAATGACCATTTAAATGTAATTACTAAGTATAGTAATCCCCGAGGGTTGAGCATACCTACCGGGCGCATCTCCAGGTGGTGGATAGGAGGAGTCCAGGTAAATTATTGAAACAGGACACCCAGCAACGGTGAGCTATAGGTTAAGTGCCGTGGTCTAAAACCCACGCGTCCTGGAACTAAAGCCTGTCGCGAACCAGCTCGTGGCTTGACACTATAACTTCTCCCAATTCTAAAAGTATGGTGCGCGCTTATAAGATGCAAGGCTGGGGGGAAGCCCAGTTTCTAGCGACCACTGGGACACAGTAGAAACACTTGAAAAAAACAAAGAAAAAAATGAAAAAACCGGATGAGGTAGAAAAACTGAAATCTGGGGCCAAAAGGCGGAGGGCTAAGCGCTCGAAAAGGCAAAGAACCGAAAGGTCGAGCCAAAATCTTGGGAAAGAGCCTTATAGGACCACCCCAGAAGTAGCAGAGGGTGCACACCAGAAAACTGGGACGCAAAAGTGACACCGCCAAGACGGGAGCACACCCCAGCAGACAAAAAAGAGGCCCAGGAACCCTGAAACAGGGAAACCAATGGCAAGTTACCGCGATGCTGCAGTGGGGACCAAAATGGCTATAACAGCCATTGGATACCCAACTAAGACGATTTCTGAGGAGCAGTCCCAGCAATGGCTAATCGCTAAATACCCGAAGAAGGGAAAGGTCCTCAGTTCCAGGGCAAATACTACGGGGGAGGAGTGCTATACCTTAAATGCGCCAACGAGTGGACCAAAAGTTGCCCCCTGGTAGAATGGGGGAACTATATCCATGGAAGTACAGAATAAGGACCGGTTCCTGCGAACACTGGGCGCTCAAAACCAGCTAGAGACCGGGACTTGGAAAGTCCTGTCCATCAGAAAGGTCGAGGGAGGCAGTGGCTACCTAATGACCTTATTGATGGATGAACAGTCCTGGGAAAAAGTGGGGGGGAAGAAAACCCTGTACCACAACCTAGGCTGGCTAAAGATCAGAAGGATCACCGGGAAGGAGCCCGAGAAAAAAGAAGAGGGGGAGCTCATGGAGCAGACCCCAATGGACGAGGAACCGACACCAGGACCCTCGTCGTACGATATCCAAAAGTGGAGGAGAGGGGAGCCCGAGAAAAAAGAAGAGGGGGAGCTCATGGAGCAGACCCCAACGGACGAGGAGCCGCAAAAGTCCTCGTCTAGACTCTAATCGCCCCGCACGGTAGTGATACTTATTCAAACCCCACCACTGCAGGGCAGCAAGAGCGGCCCTATGCAAGTCTATGGCCGCTGACGAGATTCATATTGCCCTTATTCAGGAACTGTATGTGTATAGGGGTCTGGGGGATCTGAGGGGGAGGATTATTTCACACCCCAACGAGACGAACCCAAGAAGTTGTATTCTCGTCAGAGGTAATATGGATGCTATGCCACTGTAGACTTACTGCGATAAAGACACAGCGACAGTAAGATTAGATCTTACATTAGAAGGGAGCCAACAAGGTGTATTACTTACATCAGCGTACCTTCCTTACGACCAACAAGCTGCCATGCTTGATGCCAGTGCACACCACACAATGTGGGGGAGCTCTGACATCAACAAACGAGGTGATTCACTACTTAACTACTGTCTTTCCACAGATATTAATATTCTCAACACTGGGAACGAAGCAACCTTCGTAACCGTGGCAAGAAGAGAAGTAATCGATCTAACACTGTCAAAGGGACGCATAAGTGAACTGGTGAAACTGTGGCATGTATCGAATAAAATTAGTCTGTCAGATTACAGATACATAAGGTTTAACCTTGAATCCAAAATTAACACCCAACGGGAGTACAGAAACCCAAGAAAACCGAAGTGGGACCTATATAAACAATTACTAGAACGTAACTTGGAGAGCTGCCCAAAAGAGGCGAAAGATACCTTTGATCTTGAATTACTCACAGACTCTGTGACAGATTCCATTAAGGATGCCTATGAGCGGGCATGTCCACTGCGTTGCTCAAAACAAAAAGTGGAACTCTGACCTAGAAAACCGCAGAAGGAAAAAAGAAAGCTGTTCAACACAGCGAAAAGAACGGGAGGATGGGACCTATACAGACACCACCTTACCGAATATAACAATGCCATCAAGAAGGCCAAGAAACTAGGTTGGCAAACTATGCCTGGAACTATCAGAGATACCGGCCTACTCCAGACTGCATAAAGCCATGGCCAAAGGGCCACAGCATACCCTAGGAACATGCCTAAAACCAGAATGAGAACACGACTACTGAAAGTGAGACACTCAGGCTTATGCTGAGGACCCACTTTCCAGGATCAATCATACTCGAAAATTCTGAAATTCAAACCACACTTGATATCAAGAGGGGTAAAAGGGAGGACTGGATTCTACCGAGAAAAATAATTACATACGAAAAAGTCAAATGGACAATAAAAACTTTCAAACCATTTAAATCTGCCGGAACTGACGGAATCATACCAGCCATGTTACAAAAGGGCCAAGACCTGCTGCTACCAAGACTGTGCAAAATCCTAAGAGCCAGCAACCACTCTTAACAACACCACTGTTAGAGATAAAGTGTGCAGAGGCACACCACAAGGGTGATTGCTATCACCCCTGCTATGGAATCTCGTACCGGACAGTTTACTGACACGATTGGAAAATAAAGAAATATAGGCAATAGGATATGCGAACGACATTGTATCATAGACAGCAACACAGCCCATGTTGTATTGTGTATTGTGTATTGCCTTTTCTCGTAAAAGAAAGTTGGAACCCGTGAAGAATCTAATCTTCTACGGGGAAACGCTGCCCTTAAAAGACGAGGTTAAATATCTAGGAGTAATACTGGATAAAAAACTCACCTATCGGAAGCATATAGAAAACATAACAAATAGAGCCGTAAAAACCTTTATGACCTGTAAAAGAACATTTGGAAAATCTTGGGGACTGCCACCAGCTGTGTACACTCACAATGGGTGTACACAGCTATGGTCAGACCCATAATTACCCACGCGGCGCTAATATGGTGGCACGCAACAAAAACAATCACTATAAAACAGATACTCAGCAGAATCAATCAAAATCAATTCGAAGGCCGTACTAGAATGTCTGAGAGTTATGACGGCATTAATCGAAGCACAAAATCAGATAACTCTCCTAGTGGAAGAAGAAGGCAGAGACAGTTCGATGAGGTGGAAGCCCAACTTTGCAGCTGATGAAGCCGAAGCCATGCTGATGGGGCCGGAACCCACATGCGGCACCAGCCAAGAATCGTCCAGGAAAAAACTAACTGACTGGACAGAACTACAACACAAACAATACTGGGAAAGCCTGTCTTGTCTGGAGCATTCGAAAGCACTTTTGGAGAATCCATCTGCTGAAGGACAGAAACCAATGAGGACATATACTAGGACCCAACTAAAGAAAGCTCTCCATTCAAAAAAAACCTTCACATAATGGGACATGTGTAGAGGATGAGAAGAAGAAGAGGAAACACCTCTTCACATCATGTGTCAATGTGAGGGATTCAACACCTTAAGAAGAACACACCTGGGAAAGTCCAAACTCACACAAGAACTTTTAAAATTGCTCCCACTGCCTCGGCTACTGCGCTTCATAGAAGCAACGGAGCTAGAGCTATGGAAGTAATACCATTTAGGACACAATAGGATTGCGAAAGCATACCGCAGTGCAGGGCTTTGAACCACATAACGGGGGAGTTTTAGTGGGTATACGTCATTAGACGGAGTCCCACAATACTCGGGGCCCCAAGAGGAACCGAGTGTTAGTAAAGAATTTCTCCGCCGGCCAAAGAAAAAAAAAGCTCAATTAAAGCGACCAATTTGAACATTACAAAAATAATTTTCCGGAACATATTTTAAAATCGGTAAAAAAATTCCCAGTGTAAATTGTTTAAAGCTTAAAACTGAACTAAAAGTTATTTATGATATCTAAAATTGAAAACAGTTTAAACAAATTCTCTTGATTAATTAAATAAAAAGCGTTCTTTTTATATTCTTCATTTAGAAAATCAAGAATAAAGCAAAATTAGGGCGTGGCATCGAAAACAAAAATTTCGCCTGCAATTAGCCTGCGGCGCATTTCACGATGACCCCCCTATATAAATAACCAAGAGCCGCCACTGGAAATTTGATATGCAACCCTTTATATATTAGAATATTAAATTTAAATATATTTAATACATAGTGACTATTATTGATATTTCCTATTATGCTATACTATTACTTTAATATTTTTAATTAAAATTAATGATATAATTTTAAATCCGACAACATTGTTAACTCGAATTCTGTGAATAAATAAATTTAACACTATGAACAGAAACCGTTTTACTGATTTGTGTTTACTGAAATGTGAAGTCACGCGTATAGTTATAAATATTTGGTTTTCCGGGGCGTCATCGGTTAATACAAACATTCAAACATTAATAACTAATTCCCTGGGCCTCCAAAAAATGTTCAAACCCCCAATTATCTGTACTGTGTAGAACATTAATATTACATCGGAATACGTCAATACTTGCTTTAAAATAATAATGATGGTTCAGCATTTAATGTACCTAAACTAAAATATTTTAGTAAAAGTGGGTGAACTAATATTTAACTTTAACACAGGAAAAAAAGTGGTCAATTTATATATTTTATTGCGCAATATGAAGAATAACGAATAAAAATTAATTCAATGCTTAAATTATATAAAACCAATATTGACGTATAGCATAATAATTTAAATTAATAAATAAAAAGCCAAGCCTAAATAATAATAAAAAATGTACATAAAGGGTGTTCGGAATTAACGTTAGTATATTTCGGGGGACGATTCTACACGTAAAAATATAAAAAAAGTTGCTACAAACAGATGTCCGAAAATGCCTCCTAGGGGCTCTAAAGGCATTTTAAACTGTTTCGCAAATCCAGTTTTTAATAATTATTTTAAGAAATGGTTAGTGTTAAAATAATAAAACTTTATTTCTGGAGAAATTTTTGAACAAGAAATCATCTGGTGGTGTCAAATCGGATAAATAATGACCATAGGCATCCGAAACAGGGGCTACTCGTGAAAAAAATTTTTTATGTGGGGTTTTGTTGAACTTTTGTTCTTGGAATACAATTCCTCAGATAATTTTACGTAATAAAGGTGCTCGTTACAAAGTCATGGAGCCAACCGTTTTCGAGAAAAACGCTATTAAAAATGTCTCGCCATAAAAATGTATAAATTCTAGTTATTACACAGTAAATCCAGGTTTATTTCTTATGTATTTAAAAGCATTTACAACCCGCGGCATTAATTCCTCAACGTTATGAATTGGGACTGCACCAATGACTTTAAATATGCCCTCAAACAGAAGTTAAGTGGATTTAAATCTGGAGAACGAGGTCACGGAATTCCCTCCTCGTCCAATCCATCGGGCGGCGTAAACTAAATGTTACGTTCGCAGAAAATTGGGGTGGGGGCGCCATCACGAATAAACAAATCAAATAGAAGGGGAACGTCATAAGGAAGGTTTATGAAAACGTTTTGGAGAAAATACAAGTACCTATGTTTCACCGTTCAGTCGATTTGGTAAGACGTGAGGATCTATAGATCCTATATATCAAGAAATCGCCAATTTTTCCTGCCCAAACGTAGATATAGATCTATAGAAAATCTTTCGTGGTGCCTTTATTCAATAAATTGGTGTAAAACGTCCGTTCACATGGGAGTATAACGGATAATACTTCTTGGTACAATCTTCGAGCTTAGTTACTTATACTATTGATTTATGTTATAACAAACGATTTGACAAATGTCACCACTGACAAAATAACGAATTTTCTATTAATATTTTTTTGTGGCGAGACATTTTTAATATCGTTTTTTCGAAAACGGTTGACTTTATGACTTTGTAACCTTTTTTACGTAAAATTATCTGGAGAATTGTATTGCAAGATCTAGAAAAAAAACACAAAAAATTATAAGAGTTTTTACCCAAATAGCCCCTGTTTTGCACGCCTATGGTCATTATTTATCCGATTTGACACCAGCAGATGATTTCTTGCCCAAAAAATACCCCAGAAATAAAGCATCATTATTTTTGCAATAATCGTTTCTGAAATACCTAATTAATAAAAACCTAAACAGTTTAAAATGCCTATAGCGCCCTCATGAGACATGTTCGGACATCTGGGTATAGCAATGTTTTCTTGTATTTTCACCCATAATATAACAAGTGGTATGATTATCATCGATGATATTTTCGAATTGAAACCGAGCTGCAGATTTCACGAGTCCGCAGGACGAGTGAAATGTGCTGCTTCGGTTTTAATGAGTAAATATCATCAATAATTAATCATACCACGAGTTATATTTAGTGAGAAAATATAATGAATTTTAGGATTTAACGAATTTTTAGTTTGACATTTGAAATTAAAATGTGCTTTAAAATATAAAAAGACTTTAATAAACCTTATTTATTCAAACTTACCTTAATTTCATTATCGTTTACACCAACCCATCGATCTTTTAGAGTTTATAATTCATTATTTTATTGATATATATCAAAAACAGAATTTAAATGACAACAAATGTCAAATCAAAAAAACGTCAAAATTCATAGTAACGTGTAAACAAGATGATAAAAATTATTGCCGCTGTGATAAAATACGTCACTATGGAATACTGGCATTTTATTGGTTCTAATATTAATGAATTGTATTGTCACGTGTAGAATCACCCCCCGAAGTACATTTACGTTATTTGCGGACACGCTGTATAAATAATAAGAACGCACGACACTTATTCATACCTTGACATTGATAGCCCTGCTTGCCAATACCCCTGAAAAGAAAACCTTCCATGTTAAACGAACTTTAGTTAGTGCCCAATGGTGCAACAAAAGACAACACAAATCAAAAACATTTTTTTAATTCTTATTATTAATTAAGTAAAAAGCGTTGCTTCCTTTTAAATATCAATTTTTTCATTAATTAGAATCATGCCTTAACAAGTCTAGTTTTTTAATAGATTGTCCCTAAAAAATACCAATATTTATTTTACAAAGTATTTGCATAAATTCTGAAGCTAAAAAAGCCATTTATAGATAATTTGTATGGTGTTTGGTTTGTTAGTCACAAAGAAAAACTACTTTTATTGAAAAAAACAACCTACCAAATAAATTCCTTGCAGTGTGAACAAAAAGTGGGTTGTCTCAAAAAGGTGGCCATGTATTTGTGCCCGTTAACTTGATGAACGCGTCTTCGCATGGCCCCCCTTCGCCGATTGATGCCCTTTCTCTCCTTGAACTCTTTCGGCTTTGCTCCACTTTGGAATTCTACAAAAAATTACGTTTTTTGATACAAAATCATGTTTTTTTTATCAAAAACTAACCATTTGAAGCTTTTAGATCTATTCTAATGTGTAGACGGCCAGTTGGTTCTAAGTTAACCTGTGGAAAAATAATCAGAAATTAATTTTAAGAACAAATATGAGTTTCTTTTAATGAATTTTAAAACATAAATCTATAGGTTTCTTGTTTTAAAGCTAATAATTTATTTTGAATTATAGATTAATCTATAATTCAAAATAAATTATTTAATATTCGAAAACTTATTTTATACACCAAATCAACACTCTTATGGTCGAGACGTAATAGTTTCTCCGCTCTGAACTATAAACAATTATACAGTGCATAGTCAGTGCATTTAAAAACTAATCTAAAAGTTTAAAAGCGGGAAGTGAAATGCCACCCCACCTGTCGAATTCACGAAACCACCCACCTGAACAGGTAGTTCATCGCGGCATGAACCTGTAAGAAACCAATTACAAGGGGACAAGGAGCCATATTCAGATAAGTTTTTAATATTTGCACTTCGCTATTTGCGTAAATAAGAATTCACTGAGCCTACGGGTGTGTTTATACCTTCCCAAGTGACAAATCCGTAGAAATCAACAAGAAAGAATAAAAGAGTTGAACAGGGTTAACGAACCCCTACATTAAATAGACCAAAGATACCGAATGTACAGGCGCTATAGTACGTGACAAGTAGTACTTAATAAACACATAAATCTTAGTAAGTAATCAAACTATTTTCTAATCTTTGCCTTAAATTAACAAACTGGGAGACCTTTTCCAGTATAAAAAATAAATAAATAGTAGAAGCAGTACAAATAAATACAAATGCAATTTCTTAATTGTTAAATAAGAAAAGAAATTACGTTTTCTTTTATTTTCAAAGAAACAATAAAAATTTAAAATGATATAAAATCTGTGAAATGATTAGGATTTTTTAAATAAAATTTGAAATTTGTCGATAAACTATTATATGGCAAATAATAAATTGCACCAATTAAATTTATATTATATTCATTGGGGGCGCCATGGGGCCTGTACGGATAAGGGAGGGGAAGTGTATAATGCGCACAAATGATTACACTGGTCTGCGTATTAATTTTTTTGTCTGAGGTCAATGTTTTTGTAACTGTTTTTGGGTAAATGCAATTTGCTAATTTCAAAAATGTAGCGCATTTTTTTATATCAGCATATTGTATAGCATTTTTTCCACGCTTTACGATGAAAATGGTCTCGAAAGCGAGAAAAAATTTTTTGGTTATAAAAAAACGGTTTTAAAAATATATTTGTTTTTTTCTAGAAATGTCACACATTGGATTTTTTAAAAATTAATATCAAAAGAAATCTTTTTCAATTCCCTAAATTTTGATGTAATATGAAGATGGGATCCCAAGAATAAGTCGAAAAAAATAAGGGTTGAAGCGCGTAGGGACCGTGCGGCGAGCAGCTACTATAGTATACCTATTGCAGCGGTGCTCGGTCTACTACTTAGTGGATTAATTGGAGAGGGTCAATACAACTTTTAAAATTATTTTTATATAGAAATAAATTTATTTTTCGATGGGTTTAAGTCAAAACAGCACAAGCGTCAAATTTTTTTTTTTTAGAAGAAGGTCAATAAAGAATTTAATTCTTTATCGAGGTACATGTACTTCTAACAAATTTAAAATTTTTGGCGCTTGTGTTGTTTTGCCTTAAATTCATCGATTTTATTGCAATAGTTCAAATTAATAGCAATTAAAACCCGTTTTGGTTTTGGTAGTCGAAAAAGAAAAATGTAGAAAGTAATAAGTTGCTCTTACACTGAATAAATTACACGTGCACGTAAATGTAAATAAGTTCTACTATTTTAATGCAATTGCAAGTGTCTCACAATAATAATACACATTTTTCATGTAAACTTTTTATTAAACATTTTAGCTATTTTTTAATTTTTGGGAAAAGTACAAAATTCATTTTCCGTTAGGAACAAATTTTTGTATTAATACTAGTTCACTATACTGTGGAGAGTATTGAAACGCTCGACTGACGAATACACCTCTATACCGTGGCGAGGGTTTAGAAAACTATATTCAAACGTGGCGCCATCCAATACACTTCTATATTTTTCCGTTTGCTGTGTGCTGTTTTGAGCATTTCGGTACAAATCAAACAATCAACGGAACACCTGCGCCCTCTTATCTTAAAAAGATTTTTGTATACATGAAGTTCCGACTCCTTGTAGACTCTGCATGAGAATAGATAGGAAAAGCGTCGCTTGGCAGCTGGATAAAGGAGAAGACAATGCGCACAAATCATAATTAGAAGATGGGATTTTAGGTTGCCAAATTTATAAAAATCGGTAGGTACCTAAATAGGTAAAGTTTTTTCTTGTTTTAGGTGAGAAAATTCTTAAATTAGGTACGTACTTTACAAAAATAAGTACTGGAAAGCAACTTTTAGGTGGTAAAATAATTTAATTTATTATTGTATAAAATTGTATTAAACAAGATTGGCGAATATATCTTGTAAAAATAAAGGGTGTCCCAACAAGAGCGCCGGATTTAATTTTAAAGAAAAACACATTTATTTTTTGGAAAGCAAACATTTGTATTTCAACATACAGAAAAACGTGAAACATCAGGCAAATTGCGACCACGAAACCTCTGGCACAGGTTTATTCTTTCGTTGAAATTTTGAATATCTAACGTTTTCGCATAAATGTGGCTGTATTTAAGATGTTCAACTGTTTAAGGCTTATTCGCATACATCTTTTCCTTTACTTAGCCCCAAAGAAAAAAGTCCATCGGCTCTAGATCGCACGATCTTGATCACCAAATCGAGAAATGACACGGCCTGGAAACTTGGTCTACAGTAACAGCGTTGTTTCACGTTGTGTGTGGCAGGTCGCACCGTCTTATTGGAAAAAACATGTCCTGCAAATCAATTACATCCAATTCGGGCCACAAAAACTCCGTTTGTAATGTGTTTTTACAATAATTAAACGTTGTTCGTTTAAATACTTCTCCATACTCCTAAATCGCCTGGTCTGTACGTGATAAATGTCGAAAAAAATCACCGTACAACTCGTATTAACAAAATCGCGGCAAATTTAAATCCGGCGCTCTTGTTTGGACACCCGTTATTATAATTCCATCATAATTTTTTTTATTTTTAATGCGCCGGCACATTCAAAATGTTTTTGTGAATAAGCATTGCTGAAAATAACAAATTCACATTAATTATGATAGAAATGTTTAAAAAAAAACTTTGCTGGAATTTGTGAAAATACATGACATTTTTAAATAAAATATAATAACATGAGATTAATTGGAAAAACATGAGATCTTATGCAAAAGCATCAAACCTGGCAACATTGCGCAGGAATTTTACATTTGCATGCAAATGTAAAATTCCTGCGATGCATCGCTGCGTTAAAAATAGGAATTTAGATGAATTAGGTAAAATTACACTAGTTTAGGTAGTAAATGGTAAGAATTAGGTCCATTTCTCTTGAAAATGAAAATTTTGGTAAAATAGGTAAAATAAAATCAGGGTTATAGTACAGTCAAATTTAAATCCGGCGCTCTTGTTTGGACACCCGTTATTATAATACCATCATAATTTTTTTTATTTTTAATGCGCCGGCACATTCAAAATGTTTTTGTGAATAAGCATTGCTGAAAATAACAAATTCACATTAATTATGATAGAAATGTTTAAAAAAAAACTTTGCTGGAATTTGTGAAAATACATGACATTTTTAAATAAAATATATTAACATGAGATTAATTGGAAAAACATGAGATCTTATGCAAAAGCATCAAACCTGGCAACATTGCGCAGGAATTTTACATTTGCATGCAAATGTAAAATTCCTGCGATGCATCGCTGCGTTAAAAATAGGAATTTAGATGAATTAGGTAAAATTACACTAGTTTAGGTAGTAAATGGTAAGAATTAGGTCCATTTCTCTTGAAAATGAAAATTTTGGTAAAATAGGTAAAATAAAATCAGGGTTATAGTACAGTCATCTTAGTCAAAAAAAGGGATCAACCTCGGAATCTAACGGAATAAGCTGAATTTTTGTGAAAACCTTTATTTTAGCATTACAAATGTTGTCTCAAAAGTCACATATGCCAACGTGTGAGCGACCTTAGATATTCAAGGTCAAAGGTCGCAAAAATCAGTTTTTTAAGAATATTTCGTTTTCTCTGCCTCCTATCGTATTTGCATTTATTATAAAAGTTGTAGAGAATAAAATTCTCTATAAATTTTGTATACAAAATTTTTTTATACGTCGAACCGTTTTTGAGGTAGAGGGCGCAGAGTGTGGAGCGCTCAGCCATACGTACCTTTAGCGCAACGTAAATCGTGAATCCCAATCTATTATACCGTTTTTTTAATAAATTATATAATAAATATTACTAAAATAAAAATTTAATACCTTATACTTATATTTCTTTTAAATCAAATATATTTTATCTTCATATATATTATATATCTCATATTTTAATTTAATTTTAATGAAGGATAATTGTATCGGAGTAGGAAAAAATGTTTTTATTTATATCAATATTATTATTATTATTAATCTTTATCTTCTTCATCCTCGTCTTCTTCAGGTTGGCCAGCAATTTCAGACTCATTCTCATCATCACTCTCCTCGTTATCATTGACATTAATTGTCACATCTTCAAAAATTTACTTATAACGCGTTTGTACTTTGCAGATTTTTTTTGCCTTTGTTGCCTCATCTGCGACTTCACCACAAAATAAGCACAATATTTTAAAATCAAACACATCATTCCCTTTTTTACAAGGTACAGTTGATGACGTTGAAGGTCCAGTCTCTTCAAGGCGACGTTTTGCTGCTGCAATTTTACTTTAGTACGCTATAGCGTACAATTTTCGACACTCAATATGAACGTTCACAGAAGTCAAAGTATTTAGGTAGTTTATATTTATTTCTCTCAATAATTGCTTCTTTTAAAGTCTTTATACCACGCACAAAAGTCACAAAATCACCTTCAGAAAGTAACTTATTACAAATAAAATACAAATCAGCCATGTTAACCTTTAAAATATTACGAATATTACCTGTCACAACCCTAGAC